GTTTGGGGTTGAAGGCCTAGGACTTGGGGATCAGGAAGGCCTAAGGCTTAGGATAAGGGCAAGGGTTTAGGGTTTAGGCTTGAGGGTTTGGGGTTCGTTTTCTGGCCACACGTAAGGCATTTGGCACTTGGCTATTCCCTCAACGCCTTCTATTGGGGGGTGTGTCGAGTGAAAAGAGATTTTGGTTACCGCAACCCCAAAAATTAGGACCACAGGACTATCATATGGGACTTGGCTTACATTGCTACCCAAAGGACCCCTAAAGGGCCCTTGTTGCAGCATGTTGGGGGTCACAATTTTCCTCTTACAATAGAAGGTGCCCCAGGTTCAAGAAGATCCTAAACCCTCAACCCTAAAACTTCAGGCGCCTGGCCTGTGCTTTCCGGCGCAGGCATCGTAAGGGGCGTAAGGCTCTGGATGGTCTCAACTTCCTCCATTCCTGTCAAACAATTCAGGGGCAGAGCACGATTATTTATTCCGAAACATCCTTTCATCCCACGGCTAAGGATTAAGGATTTAGGATTTATATTCTCCTTGTAGAAACCTACATCCTCCTTCCATCTATTCCAACCGCTCCTTCACCTTTAACCGAAGCCCTGAACCCTACCCTAGGTCCCCTTTCAGGCTCCATGCTCCCTATACCCTAAGCCCTAAACCCTCAGAAGGATGCTTCCCGGTGGACTCTGCAAAAATCATATGCTAGCCAAAACGTATTGGTTCTGGAGGGTTGGGGCAAGATATATACATATATCATATACATATATACCTATCTATCTTTTTATACAAATATTCTGATTGTGATTGTTGTTATCCTTTCCCCTAAACACTGGCAGCCTATACGTCCCCGTCTCATCCCAAGATGCTCCCTACATGTTGGGCATTAGGGTAATCCAAATCCCCTAAACCCTGTGCCCTAAACCCTTAGCCTAAACCCCTTAAACCCAAAAACCCGTAACCCTAAACCCTAAACCCCTAAACCCTTCGCCTAAACCGCTTAACCCCCTAAACCCTTACTGCTGGCTAAGTCATGGGCTCGGTGGCACCCAGGCCCCAGGAGTCGTGCCAGTGGCCACAGCCTTGGTGAGCTATGTCTGTCAGGACTTAGGGTCTAGGGTCTAGTTTTTAGGATTTAGGGTTTTGGGTTCAGGGTTTAGGGTTTAGGATTTAGGGTTTAGGGTGTAGGCCTTAAGATTTAAGGTTTAGGGGCTAGCTAAGGATTTTGTTCAGTTCGTCCCAAACTTCAAGGGACCCTCTATAATCCCCGTGAAGAGGGACCCTAAATAATCCCTTTCACGGGACTCTCTATAATCAGTTGAACTGACGCCATATAATGAGTTTCAAGGGACCCTCTGAAAACCCTTTAATTGACCCTGTATATTCCCTTCAAAGGGACCCGACCCTAAACCCAAAAGCCCTAAACCGCACATAATCACCGTCCCCACACAGGGATCCCATATACTATCCCCCTTAATCATCCCTAATATAATCCCCTATATACTCCCCTATATAACCCCCTTTAAGGAGTTTAGACCCTAAACCCTAAACCCTAAACTCTGTACTATATACAGGGGATTATATAACATAATCCGCCATATAACCCCCCTTTAAGGAGTTGAGACTATAGCTTATATATATATATGGTAGTTTCCCAAAATAGGGGGACCCCAATTTGGACCCCAAAATGCTATAATCCTTAGTATGGGGACCCCCAAAAAGGTACCCATAATTTAGGGAAACCCATATATGAGCTACAGTCAATATTTCCTACCCAATTTAATGGACATGGGTTCCTTAGTAGGGACTATATTAGGGACTATACTAGACTACAAGAGGACCTTAATGTCCACTTTTAAGGGCCCCGTGATAAGGCTAATATTGACAGTAGCTCATATAAACCCTAAACCCTAAACCCTAAATCCCTAAACCCTAAACCCTAAACCCAAAACCCCTAAACCCTAAACCCAAACCCTAAACCCCTAAACCCTGGGACTCCGGGGCCTGTGCTGAGCGGGGCTCCTGCCAGGGTGCAGCTTGAGCCCAGTAGGCCGCTGGGGACGGCAAGCCGTAGCCCGCGGACCAAGTCCTAGATCAGCTTGGATCTAGGCCTTTCCAAGGTTTTTAGGATGTAGGGTTTTTGGGGTTTAGGGTTTTTGGGGGTTTAGGGTTTAGAATGTTAGGGTTTTGAGTGCTAGGGTTGTAGGATCTAGGGGTTTAGAATTTAGGGCTTAGGGTTTAAGAGAGACCCAGGCCAAAAATCTGTTCTACCAGCATGATGGGGCTATAAGGATGATGTAGGGCTCATGTGCGGAGGTACGAGCATACGTGGATAGATTCTGGAGTGCTAGGTAAGCATAGGATAGAAGAAGTGGGGATGGAAGCTGTATACCTCTTGTTGCAAGTCCGCTCGCAACTGTTCATGGACCTGCAGGAAGTGGGCCCGAAAAGTAGAAGGTTTCCTTCTGGGGGATGGACTCATTCTTGTTCGCGTATACATGGATGCATAGAAAAAAACGGTGCCCACTTTCAAAAGTACGGACGAAACAAGAAGCAATGTACTGTGCCAGCTGCGCATCGCCCAAGGGCCCAACCCGCCGGGGGGTGCTTCCAGAGCAGGTACAACTTTCACCCGCGGGATGCCCTTGGCGTTCATTGCGGTTTAGAGGTTTAGGGCTTTGGGTCTCTCCAAGTAATCTCTAAACCCAAGACCCCCCTATTTATCTCTGAAGCCCCTGGGCGGCCTACCAGCTGGATAAGCTCCAAATCCTTCACATCCGCTATAAACCCCCTTGAGATACTCTATCAGCACCACTTCAAGAAGATCCCGAATTGCTAGGGAGGTGGATCACGAAGCACTAAAAGGATCTACAATAACGACTAAGACTATTACAGATCATAGGGTGTTGTCTGGTTATAGCTTAAGTTTTCCAGGCCTGGTCCTAAGCAGTATAGACCTCAGCATGATCCCAGCTCATATTTCATTCTCCTTTTTCTTCTCCACTCGACTCTCCACTATGGATAAACTCATCTGTGAAGATTAACCCCGAATCCTGAACCGTATATATCTCCGTAAATGGTAGTTCCTATAGATGCGGGCCCCAGGACTTGAACCCCAAATCGCAATAATTCTGATGACTGGGACTGTTAAAAGCAACCCCTTATCCACACATCCATACATACGCCTCCCTACACCCTAAACCCTGCACCCTAACACCTTACACCCCAATCCCTACACCCTAAACCCCAAACCCTAAAAGGTTTCACGGCACACACACACACATACACACACACACACACACACACACACACACCTTGGGCAGCAACATTTCGACCCCGACTCCTACTCCGGCTCGCATCGCGTCGACCGCGTCCTGCCAGGAAGCCATGCAAGGCTCAGGGGCACTTGGGGGGTTCTCAAGTTAGGGGTACCACTATAAAAACACAGGGCTATCCCTAAACCCTGAACCCTATATAAGAGCTTCAAAGAGTTTTCTAGGTCTATATATAGGGTTTATAGCTCAGGGTTTCCCACAATTATATGGGTGTACTATTGGGGGTCCCTAGAATAACATGTTGGGGTCGCCTTTCTTTAGGGAACCTACCACTTAAGGCTTCAGGTGATATAGGGCCATATAAGGATTATATGGAGACACATCAGGTCATAGAGGGGTCAACATGGGTCTGAATTAGGGCTTCGGGATTGCCTTCAAACGAATTGAGGGTGTATCAGATGTATAGTGTTTATAGTTCCCCTTAAGTAGATAGAATATGGGGTCTATGGGGATCTTGTTATGATCTACACAAAGCCATATTCTATCTACTTCAGGGGCACTGTATAGGGTTGGGCTTCCACAAGTTGCGTGAGGTTCACGTCCAGAGTTTTGGGTGGAGGTTCGTCTGTTCTGGGCTTTGCTCTCAGCCCTATAGAATTTCTGTTTATTCTGGGCTTCAGGTTTCAAGTTCGCCTGTCGTTATGTGCGGACACGCGGGGTTAAACTCTACGGGGCCCGTTCGTGCAGTCAAGATACGCTTCCAAACTGAAGTCTTCCCGCGGTTTCGGACATCGGCCCAGACGATGCCTCGGCTTCCCGAAACTATTTAGAGATTGGGGTTTAGGATTTAGGGTTTAGGGTCTTGGGTTTAGGGTTTTGAGTTTAGGATTTAGGGTTTAGGGCTTGGGGCACATGGTTTAGGCTTGGGGATTAGGATTTAGGACGACTGCACCAGTAGTCATAGAAGCAACAATGTGAGAACCAGCAGCAAAAACCATCATGTTCTCACGTTGTAGTGGATCGAACCATGGGCATGATGACTCTCCATCACTAATCTGAAGAAGAATGATGACGATTCCTGTGCTGCCGTTGGTGTTGCCAAAGTTGGTATTTGTCACGAGTACTGGCACTTTGCGTATCTCAGTTAAACACGAGATTCACATTGTAGGTACCTCAAGGACATGATTCACATTATTTTGAGAACTCTAACACAACATTTCCCCAATTTTCTAAGTTGGAGCATGTTGGAGCTATGGGAAATATTTAGAATACCCTAAACCCTAAACCCTTACTCTCTAGGGCCCTTCATATCCAATGAGAGCCCATACTTAGGACCCGGGACACAGGCAGCGACCCAAAGTAGAGATTCAGGGTTTAGGGGAAATCCTGCTGAGGGACAAGGTTGAGGGTTTCGAGTTCATGAGGGCCCCTCTACAGCATTATCTTGTAAACCCCTAAACCCTAAACCCTAAACCGTGAGAGCCTAAGGATTTGGCGATCCTCGGAACTCTCCACCAAGTCCAGGTCATAGTGGCCTTGAGGGATTCAGGGTTTAGGGTTTAGATTTTAGGGTTTGGGGTTTAGGGTTTAGGGTTTAGGGTTTAGATTTTAGGGTTTGGGGTTTAGGGGGTTGAGGATTCAGGGTTTTTGGTTTTAAGGTTTAGGGTTTAGGATTTAGGATTCGGGTTTGGGGCTCAGGGTGGTTTCTAAACGGTGTCTTTGGACTTAGCTGACTGGAGAAACCCCCTTAGAGTTAAAGCTTGAGCGTCCCAGTAGTAATTGTAGTAATAGAAATAGTAATACAATAGGAATACTAGCAATAAATATACGACTAGTATCAATCGTAGCAACAATAGTACTAATGTTTCCTAGTAACTCAAGGAGTTGAAGTCCTCAGCGGCAGGGATACGAGACAATCTCAACATGATGGGGTTTCGCTGTTCCAGACTCCACCATCTAGTTCTTCGGGCTGCTCTTGGCTTTGAAACTTTGAGTTTTTCTCGGTGGCATCTAAGGACCTAATCTGGGCATGCGCCATCCTGGCTGTGGAGGCTGCTTTTAAGTAGCGGTTTAGGGTTTAGGGTTTAGGGTTTTGGGTGAATGGTCACAAAGTCTTGTCCCTATTCTTCAGGAGAAATTCGCTTTCCGGAAAATACAGAAGCCCTGCACTAAACCAACAGCTCTACACCCTACATACGCTCAACACCCGAATCTCTGACACTGAAAACTGACTTAGGGTTCCCAAAGCTTTAGATCCCACAAACTAAGCTCTTCCCCTGAACCCTAACCCTCAACTCTAGACCCTACACCCTCGACCCTTAACTCCAAGCCGTGCGAACCACTGAAGAAGCCCAGTGTCAATGTCGTTCTCTGTTTTCTTTTGCATTTGATTCTCCAATTATTGGGGTATAAACCCTGTGGATCCCCATATACTTACCCCTGTATCTAACGCCCATTAATATCCCCAACCCTAAATCCCAACATATTTCCAAATGTCCCCATAAATATGTATATGCATATATGTGTAACTTACAAGACACTCTGTCAACCACAAACCCTAGACCCTTAAACCCTGAACCCTAAATCCCACGCTGAGCTCCGCACCACACACGAAGCGGCCGCGGCCCACCGACTTGACGTCCAGGCGGATCGGATCCCGGCCTAGGGTGGCTGGGCTTGACCTGGAAATTATCTTGAGACCTCCCACCCGCCTACAAATGGAATAGTCCTCTTGTGGCATATCTATCTTAGGGACAGGGGACTAAAACCCTGGATACTGCCTTCAGCTTACAGCACTGCTGATGCTATAGAACCTGCATGATCCTAAGTATCTTATACCCTGGAACTTTGAAATGATAGTATTCTAGTATAAAAAGGTCATGCAGGATTTCTTGCTCAACCCTATGACTTAGGTGATCCAGCCCCCCACTGACACTGGCTACAAGGATAGTGGTAACTCTACAAATGTCCCGATTGAGATTGTAATAGCTGGCTGGCCCCCTCTAACGGTCACATATAGTGCAGTTACTGCGATATTGTGGAACGGCAGTATCCAAATGAACACCCCGTTTGAGATAACAGAGCTGCCGGATGCAGACATCCCAATCTGCGTCGCCCCTTCGCGACCCCAAAAACAATTATGCACAGGTCCTCTTACAAAACACTACGCGAAGTTAGCAATCATCCCAAATCGCCACCTAGTACTCGATCTTACAATGTTGCTGCCTCCAACGTGCACACGGCCTGGCTTCTGGAGCGGGACTGCCCATGAGGCCTCCCGACCTATTTGACATGTCCAAGAGATTTGCCGCTCAGCAAACAGCTCCCGGCAGCTGCGTAGTCATGCACACTGGTTATCATGGGGTGGCCCCCCAGTATAAGGCCTCATCGAGGATTCTTAGGGCTTGTTGAGGTCTGATTAAAGCCTTATGAGGTTGGGAGGCGTATATTGGAGGTCCATGGTGTCCTATGAGGCTAGGGTGTCGGGTAAGAAGGTCCGTGAACGCGCCGACCAAGAAAACTGGTGCCTCGCAGCCCGATCTTGCTTGCAGTTGATCAAGAGTTACATGGGATACTATACTCCTAGTATCCCCCTTAGGAAGCCCCGTAATACTCCCTATCTAATCCCCTATATAACCCCCCCTCAAGAAGTGTGGACTACGCTCACATGATCTCGTTCATCTGCGTCTGAGGATGCAAGGGTGCACAGAATCGAACAAACTCCTGGCAAGATCCTTACACTCTCCGCGTCTTGATAAGTCCTAGCTCCCTACATTGAGCTAGAAGAACAAAAGTAGCAATAATATCAATACCATAACAAATATTACTATATGTTATTATAGTCATTTACTGCGTTAATACATATATATATATAGACAATAGGAATATCTGTTAAAACGCTGCCATGCTTGTGAGAGGCGAGGCCAGGCGCTAACCACGCGATACACTTCCTGTGTGAGGTTCATGTGAGCTGTAACCTAATCTCCCGGAAACTAACATGGAAACCCAAAAAGGGCCCTATAAAGATTACACTCCTTTTAAAGGGGGACTACATGGGTTTCCGTGTTAGTTTGGGGGAGTGTAAACACCTGGTATCCCCCCTTAATAACCTGTAGGGGTTTAGAGTTTTGGGTAGGGTCCAGTCAAACGTTTGCCTTGCTGCAAAGACGCACTAAGCAGGCTATTCCATTTTCCACAGTACCTTCTGAAAGGCCGTCCGCAACTAAGCTCCAGCGTTTGTGGATTCATGGCAGCGCCCCACATCGCGTCCACCGAAGCCATAGGACTCAGACAGTCATGCGAGCGCTAATGTTTCGGAAGCTCGATGCAGAAGTTGGCCAAAGCTCCTGCCGTCCGTACCCAGGTTGGCGTGGGCGAAGCTGCCGCATTGAGGAGTCACATAGAGTCGTTAGGCGTCACTGGGATAGGTTGAGTGGCCCTTCAAGGACTGCATAGCCATAATAGGTAATAAGAATTAAGGGTTATTTTCAGGAATATCCCAGTAGAGCCTTTCTTCATGCTTGCTGACCAAAGCTGCAATGGCACTGCCTCCTGACCGTCAAGTCCACAGGCCACCATCCAAGGAAAAGATAGGTTTCAACTACAGGGCACTCTCTAGCACAAAACGTAATGGCACTTCAACTCAAGCACACACCTGGCATCCTTGAGAGAATCTTGTAGGCACCGTCTGGTTTTCTACCATGTAACATGAATCAACGTCTCAGCATTTCGGACTTGCGCAAATTAATTACGCTCCAGCTGCACCACAACTGCGCTTGCTTTTGGAACGGAGTTTGCCTGCCTGGGGTCCCAGAGCACTTTCGCTCTTGCATTCACAGGCCATCACTCCCGTCAATGGCAGCTATTGCGTTTTGGGAAAGATCAGTGCCTGGCAAGGTAGAAACACAGCTGGATTTTTCCATTGGATACGAGTTCAACGAACGATCGGTTCCAGGACGGGGTCCAATAGAATCAGCTTATTATCAATGTCTACAGACGGAAGCTTCCGAGAGCAGTTGCTACAATGCTACAGGATACAAAGACCCCGGGCCACGCGGACGTACGAGCGTCCTCTCCATAAACAAAGCCTTGATGGAGACCTCGATTACTTGGCTTCTGGCTGCTTCGCGGCTTGGAGAGAAAGACGTTCAGCCTAAGGTCACGCAAAGATGACCAGCGTATGCCCTACGCCTACAACCGGGATTTCAGAAATTCGGGGTCCCTCTTCTTACTCGTTCTTAGTACGGAATGAAGGGATATAACCCCTAGAAACTCCCTGCTAACCGCCCGTAAGTCTCTTGAACGTGCACAAACGGGATGTTCCCAGCATGAGCTACAGTCAATGTTTCCCCAGAACAGAGTTTAGGGTTTAGGACAGGGGTTCCTTGTCAGGGAATATATATCAGGGACTAAACGGAACTACAAGAGGGATTTCTCTGTCCACTATGAAGGGTTCCTTAAAATAATGCTAATATTGACCGTAGCTCCTAAGCCCTAAACCCTAATACCTCAAGCCCACATAAGCTTACCATTACTTAGGGTCCCCGAATTTCCTTAATGTTGAAATTTTAACATGACCACCCCAAACCCTAAATAATGGTAATGAACCCTTAAAGGTACCTTAAGAAGGCTGATATCGACAGTAGCTCACACGAAAGCATAGTCAGAGCTTTGAAGCTTCCGGAAGCTACTGGGAAGTTTTCAGGGGGAACCCCGCCATAATAGCCTTAACAAGGGGCCCTTCAGGGTTTAGGGACTAGGGTTTAGGGTTTAGGGGTTTAGGGATGAGGGTTTAAGGTTGTGTCCTCTGACTGGGTTGCTGTAAAGGAACTTAATATGGGTATATAATGAATAAAAAAGGTGTCCTGATTATAGTAACTTAGTTTGGGATCCTCAACAGCAACGGGTTAACTGTTTCGGAATCTACTTATACACCTGAACTCTAAACCCTAAACCCTAAACCCTAAACCCCATACGCTCCCAGGTGCCTACTTGGAGGGTCAGCAGAACTGAGTAAGCAGCTTAAGAATGGGGACAACGGGGGGTTACTAGTTTAGGGTTTAGGGTTTAGGGTTTAGGGTTTAGGGTTTAGAGTTTAGGGTTTAGGGTTTAGGGTTAGGTTACAGGGGCTATAGGCATACGTACTACGTCCCCCTAGTCTAAATTCCTAGTATCCCCTTCATCATGCACAATCCCCTAGATAACCTCCTTTAAGGAGTGTAGACTAAAGCTCAAAATGAGGAACTCTTGGTGGTTGAACCTAGTAAGATTATATTCCCTATATGAAATACTATACCTAAAAGGAGGATATAATCTTACTTGACAATGGGTACCCTACCATCCCCAAATAAAATACTACTCAAATTGAGGAACTCTGACTTGAAGCTGGGATCAAGACTGCCCACCGCGGCTGCCGGACTTCCCCCACTCCACCGTCACGTCATTCCCCAAGGAGTCCTGGTGAGCCAGAAAAATCTGGGATTTAGAGTTTAGGGTTTGGGGTTTAGGGTTTAGGACTTTGGTTTAGGGTTTAAGGTTTAGGATTTAAGGTCTAGGACTTTGGGTTTAGGGTTTGGGGTTTGGGGAACCGCACATCAGGGGTAGAGAATTATGCTCTAAGACAACTACCCTCGTCAGTTCTAAGCATTTGTATGCGGGCTTTTAGGATTTAGGGGTTTTGAATTTTTGGTTGAGTGGAGCTGTCCAATTTTGCTGTTTCCTTTAGCTCCGTACCTAGACAGCTGGGAGGGTCTGAAAATCAAATTCTTTAAGGCAACCCATCATGGCCGCAACCCACAATCGCCCCTACAAGCTCCCTATGTAATTCCAGGTACTGCAGTTGCCCAGTAGATCAAATCCTGAAATCCCATTGAGTAAATGCAACTGCTCCGCCGGACCGACTTGATCCAGCCCCCCGCAGGCCATAAACCTTAACCCTGACTAAACTCCTCAGCCAGACCAATAAAGGGTTTAGGGTTTAACCCATACTTGGAGGACCACGGCTAGATCTAGGTAAAAAGTGGATATCTAAGTAGGATGACTGCAGTTTTGACTGAGGTCAGCAGGTGTAGAATCTCATCTCTAATTGCCCATGAACATCCGAGTGACCCTGATCAAGGGTTCCAAGGTTGTAATTACCCTAAGCTCACACCCCTAGACAATTCCCCCAACAAGATCCCCATATACCCCTTGTATGAACCACTGTCGTCCCCTAGAATTCCTGAAAAAGACATGAGTACAACCCTATAGTGCAACCCTGAAACTCTTGAAGCGAGACTTCTGGCAGGCCTTCCACTCCCCGAGAAAAGTCTCCAGTTCAATGGTCATGTTGGCTCGCTGCCAAACACGGAACGCATTTAGGGAGGTGGTCCCCCCACGCACTAATAGTGACCGCAAGGTTTAAGACGTTTAAGAGTATCTACATTAAGGTCCGTGTGTATTCGTCTTATACTGCCACTTTAGGGGGGGGGGCCACCTGAGGGATGGCGTCTGCGCAAAAAACTGAGTGCCGGTGATTGCGATACCTCAAAGCTCAGTGGGCTTGCAAGCCGTTGGCGAGTAATGCATCTTTCAGAACAATTGCAAGATGTAGGCGTTCAAAGTGCAGGTGTCTCTGGTTGGTGTGTCAGGCTCTCTTGAAAAAGCCCTATGTACGGTCAGGG